GTACTTGGTCCTTGTTGTGTTTGTGCAGCCCTCCGTTTAGCCTTCTGGCGATTCCCAGACATTATGGGTAATAACTTCAAGGCACACAGCAACAAGGTCAGGGATGGGCACCTGTGGAACTTCAAGTGGTTTTGAAACAAATCTTCCAGCATTCCTCACCATTAGCTGTGTTAGCTAGGCCTGATGTGAGTTATAACTCAATAATTAAAGTCGGACAATATGTGCCTGATTCTGGTGAAGATAAAGGATAACCTATTTTCCTAGCCTTTCTAAATTCAGTGGAATTGATGGGTCTGTCTAGGAATGGAAGATGCTACCTTTTGCAAAAAAGCACTGGTCCTGCCTTATCTTGAAAGCTAAGCATGTCACCCCTTGGTTAGTACTTTGATGGGAAACTGCCAACAAATCCAAGGTACTGTAGGCTATATTTCACAGGAAGGGATTGGCAAATCATTTCTTTGCAATCCTTTCCTAAGAAAACCTTATGAATTTCATGTGGTTGCCATAGAGCAGGGGTCCTCAAACTTTTTAAACCGAGGGCCAGTTCACTGTCCCTCAGGCCGTTGGAGGGCCGGACTATAGTTTTTTTTAAAAAAAATCAATTAAAAAATTCCTATGCACATTGCACATATCCTATTTTGCTATGTGGAAGGGCCCTTAGAGGGGGTTCTTTCTAGCCCTCTTTAGGCAGTAATTCCAGGAGCAGAGAATGGTAAATCTTCCTATTTCTAGTCTGAACAAAATCTGGCTACCAGTATTAAAAAAAACTCTAAAATGATAAGTGTAAATAAAGAACAACACTCAAACACAGGGGAACTCCAGACAAGAAACAATCAGGGCCAGCTAATCACCTCTCCCTAAAAACTGTCAGGCTATGAAATGGTAATCAAGGTGGCCAATTGAAACATTCATACCTACCTCCAACAGACAAGAGTTCTTTCTCCCACCCTGGATCTTCCACAATTTTCCTAGTTAAAGGTTTTCCTCTGACATGAAGTCCAGTCGTGTCTGACTCTGGGGTGTGGTGCTCATCTGCATTTCTAAGTCGAAGAGCCAGCATTGTCCGTAGACACCGCCAAGGTCATGTGGCTGGCATGACTGCATGGAGCGCCGGGGCAGCCTCCTTGATGGGCAGCGTGAGCCTGCCAAGGGAGGAGCAGCACTGCACGGCCTACTTTCACGATGGCCTGATGGGCAGCATGAGCCCGCCAAGGGAGGAGCAGCTGGCTCACACTGCCCATCGGGCCTGATGGATAGCATGAGCCAGCCAAGGGAGGGGCACTGTGGGGGGGGGGGCGCTCCTCCTCTGCGGGCTGGATAAGTGCCCTTGGCGGGCCGGAAGTGGCCCGCGGGCCGTAGTTTGGGGACCCCTGCCATAGAACAATACATCACTTGAAGACATACAAATAGAAGGGAGGTGTTTCACTTCAGTCTATGCCTGCAATTGGTGTCTTTCCTCAGCAAACATTTATGATATAAATTTACTTGGTTGATAGTGAATGGGAAAAGAGAAGGAATTGAGCAGTGACAATACGGTCCAGCTCTCACATCCATAGGTTACTACAGGAAATACCATGGCTTTGACTAGGCGGATCTTTGTTGCCAG